CTTGGCACCCCACCTGTAGGCGCCCTATCGTATAGTTGCTCTGTGTGCGGGGCATTGTGCTGTGCCAATCTAGGTGTAAGAAGTGAAGTTTGGTTTGGCTGGGTTATTGGTGCTTGATTGAAGTGCGGAATTTGCTGTAATTGCACTTGAATTACTGTTGCTGGGTGAGGTACGAAAATTGGCTGTTGTTCTTGAATTAGTTGGATGTATTACAAAAGTATGTGATTGCTCTAGGCATACTGTACTTGAAGTTGGTACGAAAGGTATCGGTTGCTCTTGGACTACTGTGGTTGGATGTGGCGCAAAAGTTGATACTTGCTCTTGGGGTACTGTGTTTGAATACGGTACAAAAGTTTATGGTTGATTGTGAAGAACTGTAACGGGATGTGGCGCAAAAGTTGGTGTCTGTTTTCTGTTTTTCTGAGTTATTGTAGTTGGCTGTGATTCAAAAAGTGGCGACAGGACTACGTAGTTGGATGTGGTGCATAAGTTGGCAGATGTTTTTGGATTACGGTAACTAAGTTTTCGGTAGAAACTGAAGATTGTTTTTCTTGAAACTGTGAATTTTTATCTCCAGGTAGGGGCTCTAAAATCTTAGGAAGCAGTGGCTGAGGTGTTTGGCTTAGGTGATACTTGTTGAGATGAGTTTAGTTGTGAATCGACTAGCTGAGGTGACTGTGAATTGGATTACTGGTTGAGGTGAGTTAGAGCGCGGTTTAGTTGGGTGTGGTGTACTGAGTGATTTATCCGAAATAGATGAGCTCAAAAGAGGAGAAGAATTGAAAGATTCTAAAGAAGAACTATCAGGAGGAGGTGCACTACGTGCACGTTGAATAGGACTAGTTAAGCGACTTTGAGGTTCGTCTTGAACTAGTTGAGGTGTGAGATATGTGAATACGACCTTTGTCTTCTTTTATTTGATTCTCACTCACTTCCATCACAAGGCCTTGAAAATTGACTAGAATTACTGCTCATGTAAGTCTGTCAAAATGTTGTTCTGTCAGGTTAAAGGTCTGCAGGTCCTTTACCTGATGTGTAGCGGTAAGTCCATAAGTCTTATTTACTTGCTGCCGTTTTCGCCCAATGGCGAAGTCTGCTTCTGGAGGACGCTCTGGTAAGGTAAAATTTACAGCCCTGTGACATGTAAATTTACAACCCTTATATGCCCAATATTATTGCATAAGTTAGGCATCATACTTACTTCTGCTCCTCTTACGGTAGGGTATGTTTATTTTGATTAAAAAAAATAATAATTTTGATTCAAATTAGGAGAAAAAATTTTTTCTAATTCATTTTATGTAGGAAAAAAATTTTTATTTCAAATTACGTATATTTAGAATCTCACCCGCATGGTGAGGGATTTACGGGCAGTACACAACGTGCTGCCCAAGGCCCTCGAAACGCATAGGGCCAAGCTGCGCGCCCTGCATCCGGAGGAGGAGGAAGAACTACTCCACCACTTCCTCCAGAAGGGGAACGTGGTGGAAACCTTTATAGAAATCATCACGCACGGTGAAGGCATGGTCCGCGTGACCACCGACCGGGACGAGTTCTTTTTCGGTGGGTTTCTTTTTGTTTTATTATTATTTTTTTGAAGTGGAAAACACCAAAAAAATTTTTTTTAATTTGGCAGGTAATAAAGAAAAATTTTCTTTTCAGCCCCTATGAGGTCGGGCCAGCGAAAGAGATTCAACCTTCACCGCCCGGACAAACTATGGCGCGCGGACCATCCCTGGGTGCGCGTGCACATGGGCGCATTTCGGATGGTGAAATATGGGCGAGCAGCTCCACTGCCGGAAAATTTCGCCAAATTCCTACTGAGGAATTTGGGGGATTTCCGAGGTGCAGTTGGAAAATCTGCACTGCGATTCTCTGAAAGAAGCGTGCAAGGCTTGTTGAAAAAAATACAAATACATTTAGCGGATTTACTAGTGTTTGTAATTTATTTTAATCTATTGCTGTTTTTTTTTGAATAAACTACTTATTATAAGTGTGTAATTTATTGCACCAAAATAATGTTGTAATCAAAGTGTAGGCCACAGTTGGTGGGGTCATAGCCGTTAGGAAATATTAGGGGGTCGTAAATAATCCTTGTTGATGCGCGCCGCCAAATTAATTGCTTTATTTAATGTTGATAGCAGTTGCGCTCGTAATTTCCTGGGGGATAAGCGCGTGTGGACAGTTGCGCGGTTTAAACTATTCCGGAGGTCAACATTCCAAGCTAGGTGTAATAGCAATTTGATTAATTGAAGCGCCTAACATAAATAAAAATATTTATGTAGGGCTTAGGTATACCTTAGGTTTGATTTTGAGCTAGCTAAGCGAACAAGTCCATTGTCTGAAACGTAATTACCATTTTTTTATGATTACTTAGACCTAAAAAAATTAAAAGAAGAGAAAAAAATAAAAACTTTTCGAAAATCTCGGATCTCGGATCTCGGTTCTCGGTTCTCGGATCTCGGATCTCGGTTGTCGGGAAAAAATAGCAGGGATTATATTTGTAACTAGCTGGCTTACCCGGCTCCGCCGTATCCGGACCAAACTTGGCACACATACACTTCGGGCCCCGGCGGGTGTCACAGTCCACTTTTCGTTATCGATCGATGTCGATTTTACCGATTTTTATCGATTTTTTTTGCAGAGTTGACCTGCAGGGCTAGGAGTTGGTACAGGGGGAAGTGAGCATGGGGGTTCCGAATACAATATTAGTTTTCAGAATTATCGATTACTTTTATTGATCTTATCGATTTTTTGTAAATTTTGACATGCGAGGCTGGGATTTTGCACAGGGGGGTAATCGAGCATGCTGATTAAGAACACGATATTAGTTTTCAGGATCGTCCATTACTTTTATCGATTTTATCAATTTTTTGAAAATTTGAGCTAGGGGACTGGAATTTGGCACAGGGGTGTAATCGAGCATGCTGATCACCCCCCTTGGGGATGATCAGCATGCTCGATTACCCCCCTGTGCCAACTCTCAGCCCCCTAGCTCAAACTTTGCAAAAAAATCGATAAAATCGATAAAAGTAATCGATAATCCCGAAACCAATATTGTATTCGGAATCCCCATGCTCGATTACCCCCCTGTGCGAACTCCCAGCCCCGTAGCTCAAACTTTGCAAAAAAATCGATAAAATCGATAAAAGTAATCGATAATCCTGAAAACCAATATTGTATTCGGGATCCCCATGCTCGATTATCCCCCTGTGCCAACTCCCAGCCCCGTAGGTGAACTCTGCAAAAAAATCGATAAAAATCGATAAAATCGATATTGATCGATGACGAAAAGTAGCCTATGACACCCGCCGGGGCCCGAAGTGTATGTGTGCCAAGTTTGGTCCGGATCGGTTCAGAAATGGAATTTTCTATTCGGAACATACGTACACACATACATACAGACAGACAAACAGACATTCAGCTTTATATATAAGATGACGAAGTAAGAGAATAAAAAAAAATTTGCGGTTTCAAAAATTTTGCGGTTGCAAAAGGGAGGGGGAAAAAATCATGGATGTTACTCCAAAAATTTCCGGTTTCAAAAAAAGAAAGGGGGAAAGAAAATCGAAATCTCGGTTCTCGGATTGATTTATTTTATTAGTTACAAATCTAGATTTAGGAAATTTTTTGATCGACGTTGGGACTGTTCGCAGGACTTTTTTTCAAATATTAGGTGATTTTTGTACATATTTTATTTTTCTGAAAGGATTAGACATTCTTTTTAATAGAACAGTGTCGATATGTGTAAAAAAAATACTCACTAATTCGTTCGTTTGTGTCCGTCGACAATTCGTTGGAGACGAAGAGGTAAAGGGGGGGGGAATAAATTTGCCCAAGAGAAAGTTAATTCTCTTTTCAAAAATAATTTTTAGAATTCTAAAAAATAGGGGGGTAAAAGAAGAAAAAAAAATTTTTTCAAGCTAAAGAAACAGGGGGGAGGGATAAATTCAAATCTTCCCGGGTCCTCCATGTCAGGTTAAAGGTCTGCAGGTCCTTTACCTGATGTGTAGCGATAAGTACATAAGTCTTATTTACTAATATTTATTATTTAAGATATATAGAGGGGAAGTGGGGAAAAGGGGAAGAGGCCGCAGGGGGCAACCTGCTAGTAGCGGTCGTCGGGGGTCACTGTCCTCCAGCGGGCTTTACAACCCGCTCCAAGGGGAGGGACAGCTGATTGGACCCGACAGTTCTTTGGTTTTTTTTCAAAAGAAGTGAAGAAAATTTTGAGCTGAGAAAAAGAAATGTGGGAAAAGAGAAATTTTTTAAACTACTTGACAATACTTAAGTTTAACATTGATGCTTAGCAACCAACACTAGAAGGAGAAAAGAAAAGAACAAGAGAAAGAAAATATGAGAAAAAATAAGAAAAGGAAGAATTCAGCAATAGATTCGCACCCTATCATATTCGTCGTTTCGCTGAGTACGGTGGATGGATGAGCTCGATTGGTTGCTGGGCTACGGTACTTGGCTGGTTGCTCGATTGGTTGCTGGGCTGGGGACTTCGAAGAGCGAGAGCTTGACGACCAACTGTGTGGGCACCAAGAGTGGAATGGCACGAGCTCGGTGCTGGGTGGGCGGGCCAACGGAAGAGTTACATTGGGTGGGCGGAGCTAGTTATTACAGTCGGAAAGTGTAAAGTCAATGACCTGGTATTGAAAAATATATATATCAATATATATATTTTATAAATACAATGGTGTTCATTTATAAATACGAATATGAATAGTTATAGCTAGTTATTACAGTTGCAATAAATGAGTCGCTGCTGCCGTTTTCGCCCAATGACGAAATCTGCTTCGACGCTCTGGTGAGGTAAATTTACAACCCTTATACGCCCAATTATTATTGCATAATTTAGGTATCATTCTTACTTCTGTTTTTCTTACAGTCAACAGCTCTAGAAAATGTTCTGCACAGGTTTGTAATTTTAACTTTTGAGTTATGTTTATTTTTTCCTGTTTCAGTAACCGATCTCAAATATCCCTCAACAATTAACAATGTTCACCAACGGAAATGGAGGATCTGCCCGTCAAACAGCCTGGAAAGCGGAGCTGGAAATCCGCGAAGCAGCAAGGGAAGCTGTGCGAAACTCCTCCTTGCCAACCATGGAGGATCTTGTCCGGAGCATTAGTCCGGCATATGTAAGTATTAGGTGGGTGCAAAAGTTCTTGCGCCGAATTTTCAAAAAACCATAACTTCCTTCGTTCTTGGTGGAATTTTTTACATTTATTTCTGTTTGAAAGAGAAAACCTTTTTCTTTATAGCGGTGCCTTTGCCATGAATTAGCGTTGGTAAGTTTGAGAGTTAAAAGCAATTGAAGGAAATTAGTCAAGATCGACATTTTTTAAGCTGGGATCACGAAAAATTCTGCAAGCTTGAAAACGTCACAGAACAGGCGAAAAAGTCATAAACATGGGTTTTGTGACTTCCCCTTTCTAGCTGAGCGAAAATCGTGCCAATCGGGAGCAATTTTCATTTTCGTGAAAAACGCAGACCCGAAAATCCGAATAAATCACGAAAAATAAAAATTGCTCCCGATTGGCACGATTTTCGCTCAGCTAGAAAGGAAAGATCACAATACCCATGTTTATGACTTTTTCGCCTATTCTGTGACGTTTTCAAGCTTTTTTGATTGTGCTCAAAAATTGCAAAACTAAAGAAATTCTCTTTAATTGCTTCTAACTCTCGATCTACTTCGTTTTAATCAATGAAAAAAATACCACTGTAATGTGCAAAATTTTCTCTATCAAATAAGAATACTTGCAGAATTTTTCGTGAACCAGCTTGAAAAATGTCGATCTTGACTACTTTCCTTCAATTGCTGCTAGCTTGGAACTTTCTAACGACGCTTCACAGCAAAGGTACCGTTGTAAAGGGAATGGTTTCCTCTTTTAGATGAAATTAAAATCAAGAAAATCCATGGAGTGGCAAGGAAGTTATGATTTTTTGAAAATTCGGCGCAAGAACTTTTGCACCCACCTAATATATAAATTTTACATTACTTTTATACGTATTTTGGAAGAGAAAAAAGGAAAGAAATCCTTCTTTTGATTCAAAAAAACGAAAGAGAAGAAAGAATAGAATTGTTTTATTATATTTTATCTCATCGTGTGCTTTTAAGACGCCATCCTCCGGGAGAGCTTCGGTTGAACCCATGACAGTGTCCAGTGCTGCCACAAGGGCTGAGCTACATATGACTCAGTCCCTAGAAAGGATAGAACAACTGGAAGAGCAGTTCCGCACGGGCGCCAAATACAGGCTGTGCAACGGAGCAGCGGCTGTGGGACAACCGCTTCAAGAAGGCTGAATTCTACGAAGGCAGCAGAGGAAGTATGTTTATTGGGGAGAGAGGAAAAAAATTAACAATTTGCTCAATTTTACAGAAATTTTTTTTTTAATTTATGTATATTTAGGATCTCGAATGGTGAGGGACTTGCAAAGGATGCATGATGTGCTCCCCATGGCACTGGAGATGCACCGGACCAGGGTCCGCGCCCTTCACCCAGAAGAAGAGGAAGAGATGCTCTACCAGTCCAGGACTACAAAAAGGAAAAGATTCAATATCTTTCGAGAAGACAAAAAGGGTCGCGCCGATCACCCGTGGCTAAGGACTACGATGGGTGAAGAGCACTTAGTGAACTATGGACGATGCATGCCGATGCCTGAGCAACTCTTCATATTCCTGAAAAGGAATCTGGCTGGAATAAAGCGAGTAACACTGGATAGCAGCCATTGTGACTCTCTGGAAGAATTATGCAATGTTCACGGTAAAGGTTATTCGTACAGCGAACGCTCAAAAAATTTCGCCAAATTCCTTCTGAGGAATTTAGCTGGGATCTCGCAAGTGAAATTAGAAAGTCTGCATTGCGACTCTCTTAAAGAGACGTGCAATTCCCGCGGAAAAGACATAAATATAGGGGCTTTAGTGATGTCTGTATGTTTACTCTATTACTGGTTGTTGTTGTTTTTTTGATAAACTACTTAATGGGACTGTTTAATGCATTGTATCGGAAAATAGTGTCGTAATTATAGTGTAAGCCACAGTTGGCGGGGTCCCAGGCATTGGAAAGTACTGAGGGGGGGGTCATAAATTTTCCTTTTTAATGCGCGCCGCCTTATTTGCTTTGTTTAATGCTTACAACAGTTGCATTCTTAAATTGCCTAGCGGTAAGCGCGAGTGGACAGTTGCGCAGTTTGAATTATTGTGGAGGTCAGCATTCCACGCCAGGTGTAATAGCGATTTGATTTATGGAAGCGCCTAACAAAAATAAAAATATTTATGTAGGGCTTAGGTATACCTTAGGTTTATTTTGAGCTAGCTAAGCGAACATGTCCAAAGTCTGAAGAGTACTTACGGATCTCGATTATTACATAAACCCTAAAAAATTGGAAAAGAAAAATAAAAACTTTCGAGAATCTCGTTTCTCGGATCTCGGTTCTCGGAAAAACACGGATGGCATTTTATAAAGAAGAAGTGGAAAAGGTAAAAAATTACATTTTTAAAAATTTTGCTGCTGCAAAATGAAAGAGAAAAAAATCATGGGTGTTACTTTGAAAATTTTCTCGGTTTCAGAAAAAATAAGACATATAAAGAAAATCGAAATCTCGGTTCTCGGTTTTCGGATGTCGGTTCTCGGATTAGTTTATTTTATTAATTGAATCTAGATATAAGAAAATTTATATCAACGGGACTGTTTGCAGGACTTTTCAAATATTGGATTGTTATTTGTACACATCTTATTTTCTGAAAGGATTAGATATTATTTTGATAGAACAGTGTGATGAGCGTAAGAAAAAAAATACTCACTAATTCGTTTGTTGGTGCACGTTGACGGTTCGGTGGCGACGAAGAGGGAAAAGTGGGGGGGGGGTAAATTTGCCCAAGAGAAAATTAACTCTCTTTTCAAAAGTAATTTTTAGATTTTAAAAAGTAAGGGGTAAAAATATTAGGTCGTTCCGAAAGTATTTTCTCTTTTTTCAGACGGTTGCCACAATCGAAGGAACATACCTTTCTAGGAGATCAAGGTAGCGTTCGATGCAGAATTTTATTCTCTTTCTAATGGTTGTAAAACTGTTGCAAAACAGTCAATGAGCTTTCAGAAAATAACCAAAATCTGCGACCCATGCTTTTTAAGATGGTCAAGTTTCACGATTTTTTAAAACCTTCATATCAATCCTCAGAAGGAGTTCAAGTAACTATTCGATAGAGTAAACCTCATAGAATACAGTACTTCTTTTTTCTCTTTCTCGTAGCTCGCCGTAATTTTTTAAAAGATTTTTTTAACAAAGCCATCGGATTTTGGCAGTCCCACCTCAGCCACAATCGCACCAAACATCGGTAGTTACTCAGAATTTCAAACTTTCAAGATGATATATGACTTAATATTGAATTTATAAAGCAAATGAGAGTTTACGGATTCGAAATATCAAATTTCGAGTTTTCCGGGTACAGCCTGGGGCTCCTTAAAAAAATGAATTGTGATGATTTTATCCCCGAAAAATAAATGATTCGGAAACAAAAAACACCCATTAGAAAGAGGAGAAAATGCTGCATCAAACAGCACCCGAGCTGCTCTTTCTTTGATGTTCTACAAGGATTTAGCTGTCCAAGTATGGAAATCGGTAGCATCAGTTAAAATTCTATTAAAAATGTATGACAAGCTATGGAAAAGAGAAAAAAGTTGCACTGTATTCTATGAGGTTTACTCTATCGAATCGTTACTTGAACTCTTTCTGAGGATTGATATGAAAGTTTTAGAAAATCGTGAAACATGACCATCTCAAAAAGCATGGGTCGCAGACTTTGGTTATTTTCTGAAAGCTTATTGACTGTTTTGCAACATTTTTATAACCATTAGAAAGAGAATGAAATTCTGCATCGAACGCTACTAAGATCTTCTAGAAAGGTTTGTTCCTTCGATTGTGGCAACCGTTTGAAAAAAGCTAAAATACTTTCGGAACGACCTAATATAAAATTTTTTTCAAAATGGAGCTATTTATGTGAATGAAATCCTTCGAAATTTTGCTTATCAATTAGGCGTTTCAATTTATGGAAAATGTATTGGCGTTTGTATGTCTTCTCTTAAAAGTTGGTCAAAACAGGGAAGAAATTCGATCAATACATAAAGAATAAAAAAACAGCAATAAAAATAAACTTCAGTTTCTTCTCATATTTGTATTGATGTAACATGCGGGTCTTTTTTGCTTCAAAATTTATAAAAAGTGCATCAAATAAACATGCAAATATTCTGGCTGTAAGATAAAGGAAAAGTTGAAATTTTTGGTGCACGTCCTACGTACAAACAATTACTACAAGTCCATAGAATTATCGATTCTCATGAATTCTTTACTTTTCCCACACTCAGAGATGTAAATGATAGATGTCCTTCCCCTTCCCACGCGGAATCTTCCACGTGTTCGTTGATCACTTGGTCCGTTGGCGTTTGTTTGCTGATGGGCTATCCGTAGTTTTTTTTGGCTGTCCGTTGTTTTTTTCTCGTCTCGACGACATGTAAACAATGCAACTCCTCCGTATCGGGGGCCAAGTTGTGAGAGAAGACTTCGGCAGATTTTTATGGGTTGCTTCTTGCACAAACGCTTAATCGGGCCAGGTGGTCTTGTCTTTAAAATAGTCAATCAATGCTATAAGAATCTAAGGTGTGATAGTGATAGTGTGATTTCGTCAAGGACACAATATAAGGAAAGTTCTCTTGCAATATGATTCAATTTTAACATATTTAAGTCGATAATGGCTACTCTAATAATCAAATGGCACAGAATATGGGACTAAATGAATTCAAATTGAAGCTCATTTAATTAGTTTTTCGATTTTTTAATAAAATCAGGCACCTTATACTATTACTACGAACATTCAATCTTACTTATTTGTCACTTTTCGACTTTATTCTTGCAAATATTTGATAGTTATCTTCGATCTTTTTCCAGACGGAATACATCGATGAATATTTCTCACTTCGAACAAATTTCGTAAACAGTGCCCAAAGATGGCCTTATGTGTATACTAAAATCAAAACAGGTTTTTTGTTTGATTTTGCAAAATATTTGAGTTACCTAAGAGTTTGATAGAGATGACCAAATGATGAGGGTGGGTGCAACGTTCCCTCCCATTTTAGAACAATATCCATATAAACACAATATTATGAAACAAGGATATATAGGCTACCCTCCGGTAGAGCAAGGCATTTTGATTATGTATGAATCCCACACTTCTTTTGTGCTCAATTTTACAGTATGTACGATTTTTCCACAATAACACTGCTTGTAGCTTCGTCTACAGAATTTAAAGCAGATAAGGAAGACAGATTCGAAGTCAGTGTTTTCATACTGCATCGAGGTACACAGCTTTTTTGGTTTGGCCACTTCGACTTCTGACCATTTCCTTGTAAGTCGTAATCCAGGTAAAATTTGGAGCCAAAAATCAAAAATTTTCAACCACCTAAAAATTCGGATCTTCCCCAGAAAATTCTTCCTAGGAACCTCAACTTGGTCTTTATATAGTAGACACAGAGTAGTACCCAAAAATGCATCTGGCGGATTTTTTCAATGCTGAAAATTGGGAAAAAAAGGTGGTCCAAAATTGTCAAAATGCCACTTTTTCGGGTTTTCCAAATAAAAATTGGTATTTCTCAATGATAATCACATACAGGGGTAAGGTTTTGAAATTATACTTAGTAAGGCTTGTAGTATACAAAGCCATATGTTGGAGGGGCTGGGGGCAGAAATTGCCATTTTTGGGCAGTTTTTAATTCCCGCTTTCTGTGCTCGGTAAAAACTCGGTAAAAGCATAGCTGAGTACTACTATGTGGCTACTGTATAATGGCCAAGTTGGAGGTCTGTAGGATTCTTTCTCGCAGAAATCCAATTTTCAAGTTCAAACTTCTTTTCAGATTTTGGCTTCAAACTTTTCATGGAATGCAAATTAGGCGGATCCTTGGTGGATATTTTGTAGAGTTTGATCTGCTCTATCGAATGATACCCTAAATATACTATTAAAACAAAAACAGATGAGTTATTCAAAAAAGGAGTTTACTTTCTGGACAGCCTAATAGAAAACAGTTTTCCCGAGCTTAATGTGAAGTTTTATGTGGACGCCCTTCAGTAGTGATAGAACATTGTATAGTCGTCCTCACCCCACTAGTCGGTCGGTGGACGAATTCGAATTCAAACTGGAGCAGGCCGATCGCGGCAGAGCGCGGCACCTGAACCCTCAGTTCAAAACTACGCATGTTTCTTTTTGGTTTTTTTACACCGTTGCTTGTTAATTCGTGTATCATCCCAATGTTTCTA